AGAGCTGAGCGATGGCACCACGGCTGCCAGAAAAGGACACAGCAGCAGCAGAGAGGGGCTAATAGCAAGATTACAAACTAGAAAAAATTGCCTGTGAAAGCCTTCCTGGGTTTTACTACAGGAAGAGTGATTCTTTTGATGCTGATAATAACATTTGGCTGCTTTTCACCGACCAAAGCTTTTAACTAACTTAAAACAGTAAGTCCTCTTAAAAAGGAGGAGCATCAGTTAAGGCTTTAGACTGGAGTCAGACTTAGTTTAGACTTAGCAGGGATAGAGCATACTACCTTCTTGACTGACATTTTGTAACTACCTTTCTCTTGTTCATCCTAATAGGAGGTCTATTTGGGGAATTCCCAAGCTTACAACTAGGGTAGTTCAAAGAACATGGAGAAATACCAACAGGTACCTTCTGGTGAAACAGTATCATCACTCTTAGAAAACAAAGAAGCACAGAGGAAGAGAGTAAGGATGTAACAGGAGATTCATTTTCTCGAGACACGTAGATAGATTTAGCCACCACCATCTTTATTACTATTTTCCAGTTTGGAAGTTTACAGACAAAACATGCAAGCAGTAATGGCATTAATAATTCTAACAATAACAGACAGAGGAAAATAGAACTTTTTAAATGAAATGATCAGTAGGAATAACAGGAAGGAAGGGCAGGAAAGAGAGAAAATGAACTTTGAAAAAGAAGAACACATCTAGTGGATCAGACGAAAGAGGCTTTTGCCTACCAGTGTGACTGACACACTTACTCAGCTATGAGAGCTCAGGGAAATGGTATTAGGAAGAGGCTAAGTGTAGAGCACTAATCCTTCTAATATCTGCCCCTAAATTCTGGCAGCCACAGATGGAAGGGCTTTGTCCTCAAGCAGTCCCTGAGGAACCTCTCCTTCATCCTTGACCCTACTATCCTTTGGGCCTGCACAACAGCCTATCATAGGGAGTTACAAAATTTAATGATGGCCTGCATGAAAGGCAACTTCCTTTGGCTTGTTTTGAATGACTTGTCCTTCAAAAATCACTGGATGCCTTCTAGATTTTATGTTATTAGAAATAATGGGATAGTTACTTCCTATGCTCTTTCTTCATTCCATTTGTGATTGTATAAGCTTGTCCCCTGTCCCTTCTCTGACTTCTCTTTCCCAGACTCAGGAGTCCTAAGCTACTTACTTTCTCCTACTGAAACCACTTCATGCCCCTTTTCAGCGTTGTCATACTTTGTCTTTTCCAACTAGACCATGTCTTCTGGGTGTGATCAGAACTCCACAAGTATTCCCGACAAAGGCCAAGCTGGGAGTTTACCCAGGAGGCATCTCAATATCTTCTGCCTTGTTCTGCACATCTACTCCATGAATCCTAGCTGAGAGGGTAAAGATCCAGCACTAACTCTTTGTTAATCCAATAGGCATTTTTTCTTTGGCTGTACTATCAGCTGGGTCACTCCCTGCAAGCACAGACAGAAAAGACAAGTGAGGGTACTTTCCCTCCTGATCACTTTAGGCACCTCTACTTTGAACAGTGATTGAAGGAAACCCCAAATGTACAAGCAAGAAGTTTGCTGTGTTTTCCTGGACATTCATTCCTCCACTGCTTGGTGTTTTCCAGGCTACTCCACCTCTCTACAATGTAGGAAAGATGACTATATTAAGCACAGAGTAGACTGGGGGACAAGATTTGCTCACAGATCTCAAAAGATGCAACAATTTTACTGTCTCAAATTAAGAGCCTGATCTATCATAAGAAGATTCCTGAATGAGCGCACCTGGATTTCATCTGGCGATTGGATGCACCTTTGTGCATGTACAATGAAATTATTGAACTGATGCAGAAGTATCCCTAACTCACATCCAGTAGCCATACCTGACTCATTCAATGACACTTGCTTTTAGTAGGTGGGAAGAAAATGCTTCTTTTCATCAGATAGTCTCTGCTGGAGTTAGAAAAAGAGTTCCTCCTGACTTGTCACTGCAATGCCTTTTGCATCCTGCTGGTGCGCTTACAGCAACCCTTCCTTCAGCAGTCACTTTTGAATTGCTGTGACCTAGATTCTCTAATATGCTGTGCTTTGCTAACAGAAGTCAGGGTTCACTTTCACCCTGCTCTCTTCTTTGGAAGCATCAGTAATGCTGATCAGTAATCACTGACTTTTTCTGGACACAGTCAGTGATCTCAATAAGTTTTCCTCTGTCCATGTTATTCCTCAGTTTATGGGGTTGGCAGTTTTTGAAAGGTTAGTGCAAGCCAAGACTAATTCTAGCAGTTATGACATTGATCAATTTTGTTAATAAATGAGAGGATAGCCACAAAATAAAATACAGTTCACACACAAAAAACTCACTCCCTAAAGAAATGGGATTTGTCTTCATTTGAAATGGGACTGCTCACTTTTTCATGAGTAAAATCAAGGCACACAGAGAAGGAAGACCCAGTAGAAAACAATAGCCAGTCCTGTGGTTCAGGCATGCATCTAGAAGTGGGAAACATGAGTTCAAGCCCCCACTCCCCACCCCAAGATACAGAAATTTCAGCAGACTCAGTCTCTGTTGACAACACTTTCAGATTTGTGTATGTGAACTCTCCAGGGTGGGAGAAACAAGCTGACAATCTTGTCAATGACAGCACTTCAGGAGGACACTTTTGGTTCAAAAACGTCCTCTAAACCAAGCAGGAACCTAACGTCTGCTAATTCATGAGGAAGCTACTGGCTTCCACAGAGCTGAGCTGTTCTATCCTTTATTATGGCTCTGAGAAGCCTCTCTGAGGAGGAAAAACCCAAATGAAAAGTATTCAGACATTTATAGAAAGGATTCATTATCTCCCTCCCATGGGTATATAGAGCACTCTAGCTATTAGCAGGAAGGGCTGCTTTGAAAACAGTGATGAAGAAACTGTCATCCCATGTAATTTCCTGGAGGAGCTCTGCCTCTGCCAATCTTGTTTCAGAGAGGTAGTTATAAGATCACAGAATCACAGAATCACAGAATGGTTTAGGTTGGAAGGGACCTCTGGAGATCATCTAGTCCAACCTCCCTGTTCAAGCAGGGTCACCTAGAGCATATTGCCCAGGATCACATCCAGACGGGTTTTGAATATCTCCAGCGAAGGAGACTCCACCACCTCTCTGGGCAACCTGTTCCAACGCTCTGTCACCCTCACAGTGAAGAAGTTTTTTCTCAGGTTCAGATGGAACTTCCTGTGGTTCAGTTTCTGCCCGTTGCCTCTTGTCCTGTTGCTGGGCACCACGGAGAAGAGACTGGCCCCATCCTCTTGACACTCCCCCTTCAGATACTTGTACACGTTGATGAGATCCCCTCTCAATCTTCTCTTCTCCAGGCTCAACAGGCCCAGCTCTTGCAGCCTTTCTTCATAGGAGAGGTGCTCCAGCCCTCTAATCATCTTGGTAGCCCTCCGCTGGACTCTCTCCAGGAGTGCCATGTCTCTCTTGTCCTGGGGAGCCCAGAACTGGACACAGTACTCCAGGTGAGGCCTCCCCAGGGCTGAGGAGAGGGGCAGGATCACCTCCCTCCACCTGCTGGCAACACTCTGCCTAATGCACCCCAGGACACCATTGGCCTTCTTGGCCACAAGGGCACACTGCTGGCTTGTTGTCCACCAGCACTCCCAGGTCCTTCGCTGCAGAGCTACTTTCCAGCAGGTCAACCCCCAGCCTGTGTTGGTGCATGGAGTTGTTCCTCCCCAGGTGCAGGATCCTGCACTTGCCTTTGTTGAACTTCATGAGGTTCCTCTCCGCCCACCTCTCCAGCCTGTCCAGGGGCACTCACTTTATTGGTAGCCTCCGTGGTTCTTAAGTTACTGTATTATGGGTCACTGTGCCTTCACAATGTATTGGCCTCACTGTGAAAAGAAATACAGTGCATTTAGGGTTTTCCTTTTCTGAGTGACACTCTCAGTTTCCATTTCAATCAAGTGTTAATGGGGGTGGAGTCTGGGATGTAGAAGTTACCATCACACTAAGGCAGTTCACTGGCAATACCATACAATCAAAGGGTCACTTGCTCCAACTATAAAACCCTTCATTAGCGAAACAAATTAACCATGGCTGGTGTCACTTCTGTGCCTTTCCCTTCCAATACACCCAATGGAGCTGTTTCATGGAGCCCATCCTGTTTCCTTGTGCTCCATGAATGTAAAAAGAGCTTGACCCAAACAAAACAGCTCCTCCTCCAGACAAGGACACACCTTCCACTCAACACACATTCCTGGGGAAAAAAAGCTTTCCAGAGAGTCAGCCCTTCAACTGCTTGTGAGAGAAACACATGAGACCCTGAGAACCAGTTTATGAGTTTCCAACACTAAAGACTGGAAACACAATATCAACATCCCTGAAAAAAGCCAGAGCATCTCCAAACTCACCTAGCGAAGAAATTGCAGCTGCACAGCTACCTTGCACCTTGAGAGATCACACAAAAGGCTGGTGTGGAATTTTCTGTCATGGAAAATCAGTAACAAACAGGCTAGGCACGCCATACTGGAAACATTATCAGGATTGTTGATCCCACCTTGGCACACTGAGGAGGGACTAGATATGATAGTGCAGAGCCTTTCTGAGTGATGAATTTATGGTCTGATGAAAGTTACTGTCACAGAGAGACATTGGAGCTGCTGATGCTCTTCACTAAGAAATAACCTTTTTCGTCATCCCACAAAAAGTTCTCTACCTTGTAAAGCAGAACTGTTCCTGTGGTTAATAAAGACTTGATCCACAGCTTTCTTCCCCTCATCACCCAAAGGCAGCAGATTACTTGCAAACGTGTTCCTTCAGAAAACATTACTTTCCTCTGGTGTTCTTCTAAATGCTTTCAGACTGCTCACCAAATCCATGAAGAGGAGCAAGTTCTTCCAACATCAGCTCTGCGTTAACCAGCTGAAGGAACAGATGTAAACTTTGTAGGATTCTATACAGAATGTGTCCTTCTGGCCCTGGTCACCTGGCCAATTTCAGGGAAGATTAAGCCCCTGGACTGATTAAAACTAATTCAGTGATGAGGCAGGGGTCCCCAAAGACATTATGTTTTCACAAAGTGCATGTAAATGTTTTGGAAGAAACAGGAACGCCTGTTTGTTCCGTCACTGTAAGAAAGGTTACATGACATGTTCAAGCCTTATTAGGCACTAGAGGGTCCCTACAGGAGTCGTGCCAACTCCAAGAGACGAATCCAGAGTAAGCTGGGCATCATGGGTTGTGCTGCTCACTGAGCAACAGGTTTAGTTACGTGCGTGTAATGCTGAATTTAACATAACACAAATGTAAAATGCTGTAGCCAAAGTTGCATTCTTGGAAAAGTATGTTGAGAGAAGCCAGACACTTAAGTAACATGTTCAGAGCACCTCCTAGATGGGCAACAGTGCAGGTCAAGGCCTGCCACAGCCTCAGGGGACTGAAACACCCAGGTACTGCTACATATCCTAACCATTGGCGGTTAGGCACTTCTTAACCTCTATCCACCTATTCCATCATGTAATTTGGTGTTGTGAATTTAACTGTAAGAACTTCTTCATTATAAAGATTTCCCCACTTCCAAAGTACTGCAAAATTAGCACATAAACACGCTCTACAATACATGCTGACAAATCATGACACTCATTGGTACTACCCTGAAGTACTTAGTCTGTTGTGATTTCATTTTATTGGCACAGGTTTCCGCCAGTGAATCAGTCAGTCAGTGGAGGCAGCATTGGAACTGCCAGCAGAAGACGCAAGGCAGGCAGGCAGAGCAGAGGTAAGTCTCTTTTATATATGTGTTCATGGTCTCTTGTCTCTTGCCTTTCTCCACAAAGTCGTGCAGCCCTGGTCTTGTGCAGCTGCTTCTGAGAGTAGACAGCCTGTTTCCTCTCTGATCTGCAAGCCTGTAAGCTATACAAAGAAGTACGTGTTTGCTGAAACTTAGGATAGGAAGAAACCCCCTCCTAAAGGTCTCTGTTTTGACCTGCACAAAGGGGAGAAAAACAGCAAGTGAATATTTCATTTTCCTCTATTTTGTTTGCTTCAGTCTGAGAACACAGGAATTAAAGTCACAGCGTTCCAAAAGCGTGTGTAAATTGGTCATTCTGCTCTTGCAGTTTCTTGCGCATGTATGCTTTTTTTTTTAAGTAAGGCAGCAGATTCTCATATAGGTTTAGCTGCAGATGCTACTCTGATCCTTGTGTTTATCCCTTGGAGCCTACATGAAATAAACTTTAGACTGCCTAAATCAGAAGGGTAGATTGATTGCTTTCTAAAGAGTTTGTGGCTTAATTTCATTAAATCTCAAAAGCCTCTAAAGAACTTGTAAGGGTGCCTCTATCTGTCCTTTTTTTTTTCTTCTAAGTACATCGTTTTATGACAGTTCACTATGTCCAGTTCTTCTTTATGACTTCATTAGATAAAAAACGTAGATTGCTGTTCAAGGCTCCTATTGTCAAGTCTTTGCTTCTGAAGTTTAAGGGAGTAGTGGCCTGCCAAGCCTAGGTGTTACTTAGCCTGCTGTATCTAATTTGAAAAGCAAGTACCTGGAAGTCCGTGAGGAGCACCAGCTAAGTTAGGTGATAATAGATTGCATTGAGAAAAGCCTGCACTAACAAGAGGAATACTGTAGCCCTCACATTGCCTCGCCTAGTCTTAGTAGTGATTCAAAAACAAGCTGAGACATCTACAGAACTTATTTGGGAAGAACACTTGAGATTCCAGGTGCAGAGAGAGGGGGTATATTTTACTCCCATTAAAAGAGTAAAATAGCAGAAAGCAGAAGAGAGTGTTGTACTAACCAAATATGTAGCTGGGAGGATTCTTGTTTTGACAAAACAAATTAAGAACTATTTGGCAAAGGGAATTGAACAGAGTGTGTTTTACTGCCAAATTTAAAATGATGGGTGTTTCCAAACTATGCTTTGTTCTACTTGTCTGATGACTCAGGAGGTTTGACTTCTTTAGTTTTGTTCAAATTTAAAGATGAAACTGAAAACCAGAAAAACTGGGAGCTCCCTGTCCTATAAGGAGTTTTAGAGAATGCAAAAATCTCTTGGGCACCCTCTCTCACCCCCACAGCTCCTGCACATCTTCCCATTATTTGCTAGGGAATACCCTCCTACCTTCCCTTGATCTGTATCTCCCTTTCCAAGTACAAATAAACTTCATAGAGTAGCATGTCTTCTCACATCAGATGTCTTACGCTAGAAGCAGACTCTAGAAACATGTGAATGCATGAGAATTTCTGCCCTTTATTAAGAATAGGATTCTTCACTTCTAGTGGACCTAGCGATGCCTGGTTTCAGAAAGACTTGTTTCCGAAGTCTGCTTAACTTCCTAATGCCCATTGTAATACACACAGTGCTCTCTGCAAAATTCTCTCACAAGCCCTAACACCCAGCCATGCATACTGTGGCTACTATGAAGCTATACATATGCTGATTAGCGTATCTATGCTTGTGACTGTTCAGTTGGTTGCACAACATGTAACATCCGACTTCCTGTCTGTCTTCCCCTCAGCAGGGCCCTATCCCCAGCAAATGCTCCTTCCTAAACAAACACTCCTTAGGAGCTCCTGGGAACCCCATTACCTTACAGGCTTGTGTCTCACTGTTGAGCTTAGTAGAAATTCACCAGTGACATCAAAAGTTAATTACGGGATGGACAGAAAGGCGAACTAACATAAATACACCATGGTCATATAAGCATGCTTTTTTCTTCTGAGGAAACTAAGTCTTCAAGAGCAGCAACGTCCATGATGGTGAGGCAGTCTTACAAGTAGCCTTCATGAGCTGAAACCTTTTGTCCCACAGATCCTGTTGTTGCACATTTGTAGGTGGCCTGCCTGATCCTGGAGGTCTTTCTCCATCTGCAGAAAGACTGCTACTTTTCTCCTCATAGCCCTCATTGTCCCCTCACTCATGCGGACACAGAGTACAAGAAATGTTAGATGCAAGAGGGCTTTTCCAGTTATGCACGGCCCTGAGCTTCAGGGAAGAATCTTCTTTGTACAGTTCCTCACACTGGAAAGAAAAATCATATCCCGCCTACCTGTAGCTGTCTTGGAGGCAAGGAAGGTTGTCTTGCATTGAGCATTGAACATGGCAGCACTTCTCTTGCTCTCCAAACAGCTTCAGCTGGAAGTCCCACACCCAGCACCCCTCTCTGACCTGACATGCAACCTGCTCTTCCCTTTTCCAGGAAGCCTTTTAGACAAAATTTGTATATTGACAAAAACACCAGGGAGGCACAAAGAGAGCAGTGTTCCTGCTCTGATCCACTAGATTGGGGGGGGGAGGGGGGGGGGGGGACAAAAGCCATGAAGGAAATCTGCCACAGGCAGAGTCATCATAAGCTGGTGCTAGACAGACACTGCTCTGCAATTTCTGTTCAGAAAAGCTTCCCTGTGACCAGCAGTCAGCCCAAGAAACCCAGAAAAGGGCACAGTCTTGCTTCCACCTGCTCATGACACAGTTTCATAATGGGGAGAGGCATTTCTGAGACAGAACGGATATAGTCCTGTGCCACAGACTGGCACTGATATCACACAAGCACATTCCCCGAGTCCATTCCACATCCTCCTGGAGTTTCTGACTCACTCCCGGTTCCCATTACCTCGCCTGAGCTGCACACCATCCCTCCTCACACAGGTATTTATTTCTGCCAGTCCTTGGGGGAACACACCCTGGGTGGCCTTCAGGAGACTCCTTACTTGGGTCTTTCTGTGCAATTCAACAGCACTCTGTTCGAAAGCAGGGAAAACATATGTGCATGTGCTCTGTCACACAGCCCTGAGATGTGGTGCCTCCTTACGCTGCTGTGCTTCCAAGGAATTGCCTTTTTGGCAGGATTCCCCTCCACTCTGAATTTTGAGGAAATCCAGAAAAGGAAGCCTCGCAACCCCGAATGCTTCATGAATGTTGTAAGTTATGTTGCTATCCCTGCCTTTCTTTTCAAAGCGTCGGTTGCACTATCAGTACCCCTGTGCCATCACTGTCTGTGTTAAGACACTGAAATCATTTCTAAGTTTCCCCAACCTACCTTTTCCAAAGCAACTGCATTAGAGTCATGATTGCAACGAGGGCCAGCTCTGAACGTGCAGGAGACAGATGTGACCCTTCTACATTGCACAAAGCACTGGAACAGAGAGGGCTTGCTGCTACTTTTCACTCAAAAGACAAGCAATTCCCCAGGGCCTGCTGAAGGGCACTTGGGATCTGGGCTACTAAATTTTGACCCCCAGCAATGTCACTCAGTCCAGGACTGTAGCCAGAGCATGTGCTACCCAGTGCAGCCCAGCCCAAACTGAATGCCAGATTCTCCCTGCCTACGTTTTGGGTGAACCCCTACAGACACGTGAGGAACAGAAGGCTGGGCTATGCTTGTAACCCCAAGTCTTCATCACACAGTCACCCTTCCCAGCACTCCTTGACATTTCGGGCTACTGCAGGAAGAGTGGGAGAGCGTGATCACAGCAAGAGGACAAAGTTCCTCCAGCCCTATGATAGGCAGCACCAGCCCAGGGGAAACCATGCCTTTCCACCTGAACAGTCTCAGCTGCCAGAGAAAACACCACCTTAGCAGTGGAGGCAGTAGATGGTTTCTTGTCTAAAAGGAAGCAAGCCTTCTCTAACAACCTGTTTGCTCAACAGAAGCAGCAAGGGACACCGAACCCCTTCTTCAAACAGCAGATTCTCACAACACAAAGTAACACAAGACCCCATGCTCTGACTTACCAAAGCTCTCCTCACAGTACAGGCAAAACTAGGTGTAGGTGGTCTCAGGAGTTCCTTCATGATAGGAGCCCCACTCTTGCTTGCCTCGCCTGTATGGCTTACCTAATCATTCTTTGGTAAGAAAGCACTCATTATGGATGAAAGACCACATCATTGGGCATTGATCTAACACAGATCCTGCTGCATGTTTACTCTTCAGAAAGAGACAACTTGCATCAGCCTTACACAACATGACAAACTACTGCACTTCATTTGCTGAAGGAGATGAGACTGCCTCCTCTTAGGAGACTGCACCTGAACTCTGAAACTCGACTTTTCTCATTCCTTTCCCAAGCCACCACACTTCCCAGCAAGCAAAGGATCCATTCATTGCCTTTTCAGAGGGGCATTTCTAATGAGAATGACACACAGTTGCAAGCTCTGTCATGCACTAAACACTGAGCCTAGTCTAGTGCTATCTCCTTGCCTTCCTGTGTATACACATCTGCTTCACACAGCAGAGCTTAGGAACAAGATGGTGCTGAAAAGCAATTCTGACATTTCTGCTCTGCGGCAGACACAATCAAGGAGTCAATCCAGCTGAATACTGCACTTAGGCAAGCAGAGTAGTCACCCAATGCAGTTCAATTTGGCCCATATGGAGTCAAATACCAGCCAACTACCACCTGAGCGTGACTCAGCTACCTCCAAAAAAAAAAAAAAAGAAGGCAGTCAACAAGATTTTTGATGAATCTTTCACAAGACCTGTAATTTTTAAACTCTCAGCCACAGTCCCCATGGCCAGTGGTCCTGCACTACTATCCCCAGACAGCCCACAGCCACACTGGCCAGCTTGTTTACCTTCCAAAACAGGACAATGCAGTTCTTGGTATTTCTATTTGAGAGATGCAGCATTACAGACCACGCACAAACCACATCACTGAAGGACAGCTTTTGCATCCTCCAGCCTTCCCTTCATGGCTGCCTTAGAGGACACACCCAGTCTTCCCCAGGAGGCAGGGGCATGGGCAGAGCTGTGCTGTGCTATCCTGCAGGAATCTGTTTAGGGACCCTTCCCACCAGCACAAGGTACAGCAGAAGACTAGAAGCTCCATGGTCTCACATTCGCCTTCCTGGCCCTTCCTCAGCTCCTCCACAGCTGAGTACCTTCTTGGCTAGCTTTGCATTCTGGCATAGAAGCAACAGACACCTCCTTCTCCACCCACCTCTACACTGTCAAAGTATGTTAACAAGGTCTCCTTTGGCTTCCCACAGAGTGAAATTATCAGATATCACGGATACCCCAGTGAGGAGTATGAAGTTACTACTGAGGATGGATACATTCTTCGTGTTTTCAGAATTCCTGGTGGCAGGAATGGTCGGAATACAGGTGCGTCAGTTACAGCATATAAGGAAGGTCTGGGAGCCAGCTTTTACATGGGCCATCCATCTTTCACCTTTGCACACGCAATGGCATGTTCCACATGTTTCAGTTGCAGCAAAAGCACCTAGTCAGGAATTTGGGCTGAATTCTGAATCCATCTCAAGTCTGCACGTTCAATGTCTCTGTCCATTAGTCCTTTGAAGATTATCTGGACCAACCCAGTTCTCAAAGTAAGAGTAAACAAAATTAGATCAGGATTCTCATGGCCTCGCCCAGTTGAATAGTAAATAGACCTAAGGTCAGATATGCTTCTTTCAATGAATTACTCTTTTTCATCCACATACTGTTCTGTCTCTATCATTTCTCAGCTGCAGACAGATGGTTTCAACTGGGGGACCTGTAAGTTGGCTTTCCAATGCAAAAGGAGATGGGACTGGCCAATTTGTACATTCTGCATTTGCTGGTTCTGACATAATGCGGTTAAACTGCTTGCATGGTACCAAATCTTCCAGGTTTCTCAGCCCAATAGCTATGCCTAGTTCTCCCAGGAGTTTCTTGAAGAAAAGGTTTAAAAACCCTCACAAACTAAACTCTACACCCCATTCTTAATAGACATTAATTACTCCTCCAGTATAAGAATACTTCCATCTTTTTCAGGGCAAAAATCTGTAGTCTTCCTACAGCATGCTTTTCTAGGAGACTCTACCCATTGGATTTCTAACCTGCCCAACAACAGCCTCGGCTTCATCCTAGCAGATGCTGGCTATGACGTCTGGATGGGAAACAGCCGAGGGAACACTTGGTCTTTAAAACACAAGACTCTTAAGCCTTCCCAGAAGGAGTTCTGGCAGTTCAGGTACTCTGTGGAGGGGGAATTACTCAAGATGGCAACTCCCAGGGGACTAGATAGCTTCAGCCTGACAGTTTTTACCTAAAGCAGTATGAAAGCAGGGTCTGTTTCAACCAAGGAGAGAAGAGAACATGACCAATAAGGATGCTCACTAGTACTTACAATTGGGAGCAGTGCCTGGGGAAGAGATTTCAGAAAACAAGAAATGAAAGGGGATGCTGAGAAAGATGGAGGCAGTACTGTGAGAAGTACAAGAAGCTCAGCTAGAGCAGGCTGCTCAATTTTGTCTTCACCAAATCTCTTATCTTTCACAGCTGATGTCAAGTGAGAGAGAAGCGTATTTTGTAAACCATGCTAGTTAGAGCACTTACTAAATCTACTTCCCAAAGGGCCACAGCTAACAGATAAGGCCTCTGGCAGCCTGCTAGCACAGCTGCATGCCTCCACCTCCTTCCTCAAGTCACAGCAAAGAATCTAGATGAAGTGGCAACCTCATCTTTGAGCACGTTTTGCTTGGTGCCATGAACAAAGGTGAAATCCAGTAGCTCACACTGTGATAGCCAACCTGTCCATCTGTCAGCTTTCTGTGTTTCTCCCCCGTAGCTTCAATGAGATGGGTAAATATGATCTTCCAGCAGAGCTGTACTTCATCATGAATAAAACCGGAGAGAAGCATGTATATTACATTGGCCACTCTGAAGGCACGACAATAGGTAAGGTTAGGACAGCTCAGGGTTCACATCAGTTCACTCTACTACCTAATCAGTAGCTGTTTCTCCCCATTGGCTCAGCCATTTTTTTTTGCTTGTGGAGAGTTATTGAAGGTAGAAGTATCTTCTGAGTTGAGATTTGCAAAATACATAAAACTTTTCTAAGATCAGCTTTGTTTATCAGAAATAAGCAAAGAAATGTAATAGCAAATCCAAATACAGTTCCACCTTTTAAAAAGAGACATAAAAGCCATTATTTAAAGGGTACTCCAAGTACTGACGCTGAACACTTTTCTTAAAGCCTCAGTGACAGGAATTTTCATTAAGCTTAACCTTTGTATTAAAATACACAATTTTTTCATTATGAATTAGAAGAAAAAACAAAACCATTCCCCCCCCCCCCCAAAAAAGAGTACAAAATACTTAATTTCAAACAACAGAAGACACAGAAAAAGAACCTCAATGTTACTAAGCGGCATGACTTAGTGACAATCTCACGATTTAAAGCCTTGTTCATGAGTGGTTACAACCGGCCACACTATTGTTTAAAAACATATTGCCAGAGACTGAAAATTAGGAAGAACACTAACAACTTCCTTTCTGTTAGTTCCAGCCTTTAACATGAACTCATTTCACGGCCTTTGAATGCAACGAACTTTCATTTACCGTCAGCTGAGCACTCCTGATGTTTATGCATAAGATCCATGAATGGATAGTGGCTAGTAAGGAGCAACTGCCCTTTCATTACAATAAAGTACCTGGAAAATAAGAGAAAAATGTGGAAAAAGTGTGCGTTTCCACATCTCCAGCTCTTTTCTTTTTTTTCCTCTCATAAGAGCCTTTAAAGACTCTCATGGCCAAATGAACCGTTTAGGCTGGCTTTAGCTGCCTTTGACTTCAGTGATCAGTTGAAAACACTCAAGAGTGCCCAGTATTCACATAATTATTCCTTTATTTCATGGAGGCATAAACATAGGTAGTCCTTTAGAGAAAACCACCTGAAAACACCTGAAAAATTCATAATTTTATGACAGTTTTGTGAACTTTAGAGGGAATCTGATCGTATCATGAAAATTTGACTGATACATCACCTACAAAAACTATTCTGATAAAGTCAACATCCAGACATGCTCTAATCCTCAGAATGAATTCTGTCTCCCAAATACAGTTCATTTCAGGACTTAGCATCAACACTTTCCTTAGGCAAAACACACAGCATAGACAAACAGGGTCAGACAGACAATGGGCTACTAATCTAGTCTCACTTCTTGTTTGCTGCCTTCTGCTTATTTATTTATTTATGTTTATCTATGGAAGATCTTTTCACTAACTTAAGCTGTCTCTTCTGTGTTTGCAGGGTTCATAGCATTTTCTACATACCGTGAGTTGGCTCAAAGGGTCAAAGTGTTCTTTGCTCTGGGCCCAGTAGCCACATGCACATACAGTACAAGCCCTTTGATTAAGTCAGCAAGTGTTCCTGAATCACTACTCAGGGTATGTCATTCATTCCTCTTAAGAGGCCCAGCACCTGATTTACCTTCTGCTCAGGTTGAGTGAACCCTGTGAAGTGTTTCGAAAGGGGTGATGCGCTGATACTGAGCTCAGGAATAACCTAGTGCACTTGCAAAATATATCCTCAAATGCTGTGGGGAAAGTACTGGAGAACAGAAATGTGGGATTTCAGCAGCAGACCTCAGTGAAGTAGGAGACTTGCGAAACTGGCTTGTCATAGGACTTTCGCTGTTACTTACACTGTGCTGGCTACCTGCACAGCCCTGGCAACCTCTAGGACTTCAAAAATGTGCGAGCACTGAGGTCACTGTACTAGAAGAAGAAGGATGGCTTCCTCCAGGATTGATGCCCAGTAAAACAAGGCAGGAAGGATATATGATGTCCTCTGGCAAAGAATACATTTTAATGAGTATTGGGAGGGCAAGCCATTTCAGCATTCTGAGCTAAGAGTGCAGGCTATTGGACCACAGCAACAGTTTCCTGCATGAAACGCTCCTATAACAAGAAAAAAAAAAGTGTTGTACTTTTCCCTTACCTCAGCTAGTATTTGGCTGGAAAGGAACCATGCACCAGATCGAATTTCTGAGAGGACCTGTGACGCAGTTCTGTACAAGCCTGGATAAGCTTTGTGGCCGTATACTTGCTTACATAGCTGGAGGCAGCACACAAAATCTGAACACGGTAAGCAGATGCAAGAACACCTTGTCAAAGCAGAGCTTAAGTAATTTTGGAAATTTCATTTATGCACTCTATCCTTATGTAGTAATCATCACAGATGTAAACATACATAAAACAACATAGTTCTCAATAGACTGAAGAAATACAAGGACATTGTATGGTTTGAACAGTACTGAATAGAACTACAGTTAATGATGGGACCAATAAGCAGGCACATTCAAATCACAGAAAGAAAGGACTGAATTCAGTCTGGAGCCTAGTTATAGCCAAATTTTGGTCATACACAGATACCGTTTAATAAAAACCAATGGATTATAGAGTGGGACTTCTCAATAATATCGTTCCTACATTCCTTCCTAAGCAAGTAGATGCCACAGTCCTCTGAACACTGAAACAATTAAGAACTGGAAACAGCTGTTTCTCTGCCCACATTTCAGACTACTTGTGCCAGAACTTGGTCCCAAAGTACTACCAAAAGGAGTACATTCCTGTTTTGGTTCTAACTCCTGCCTTGTCTTTCCAGTCCTTCCATATATCATACATCTGTTTCTCTGATGGTTTTTGCTCTCTCACACTCAGATTATCTAACAAGCCTCCAAGCCCCATAAAACCTTATCACACACGTAGTATCACTATGTGCAAGTAAGCAGTCCATTAACAATCTTCCCCTACTAATTAAGCACACTACTGCTCACGGGCATCAGAGCTAACCTCAGACCCTGGGAAAAATGAGAACTGCCTTTCTAGTGAACTTCCCTGAGCTCATGTTTCCATCTGATTAAGCGCTAGCATAGGAGGCACTCTGTAACTTCACTCTTTGTTCAGTGTCTTCCCCATACAAGCTCTGCCAGCCTTGATCCACCTGGAATCTGAGGTACCCTACACTCAGCATCAGAGCACCTCTCGCCTCAGAACTGGACCCCACAGCTCAATCCACAACACAGAGAGCTACAGAAAGTCTTTGCACTGTGCCTGAGCATAGCATGCCTATGAACAGGATTCACAAAGAATAGCACAGCAGTCAGAGGAGATGGGAGGGAGAGGAGAGTTGTCCCCACACCTGCCAACATGTAGATACTGCAGTGTGTCTTAAATTCCCTTTACAGTAGGCACGGCCTAAGCAATGCCCATTACTGGCATATCTTTGAAGACCTGGGCTCATTCTTCTCAATTTATAACCACTTGTAATAGCACAAACAGGAAAGCCATAAGACTCCAATGCCCAGTGCAGAAGCGATTAAAGGCATAGCATCCTTTTCAAACAGCAGAGCTAAACCATCTTTCTTGACTTGAGCTAAGTCCCTAATGTGCTTCTCAGGGCAGGCTAACAAGCTGGAGGAGGAATCTGAGGGGACATTAGAACACCTCCTTAACAGAACTAGAAAAATTCAAGTAGAAGAAAAGACAGTCTATACAGGGGTGTTTTGTAAGCTAGCTTCCCTTGGTACCAGGGGTAAACTGAAGAGTAAGACAAATCTTCAAAAGACTTAGAGATGCATGAGAGTTTAGTTTGAGCTTAGGATTCTCCTCTGAAACAACTGGAAGTGGTTAGGTTTTGGGACCTTTTTTAATTGTTTTCTTTCCTACTGTTGCTGAATCACATGTTCCTACAGTTCTGTCTTTATGGAACAGACTCCCTCTCACGGAAAAAGCTCTGCCTGAGACATGTACCATTAACCAGCTATTCCCAAGTCTGCCCTTCAGTTTTCTGTTTGCTGTTTCAAGAATAACCGATTAAAGTGGGTTTTTTACATAGCAGTGTATTACTCAGGTCCTTCAGAGTTTTATTCTGTTGTAACACTGCACCCCCTGCATTTGCAATATTTCTGCTTTCTCTTCAGAGTCGAACAGATGCATACGTAGCACATTCCCCAGCTGGGACATCAGTTCAGAACATCATTCATTGGCATCAGGTATAACAGCACACTGACGTATAAACTGACTCTATCTACTGCTTTCTATTCAACTGGCAGCCTACAGGGAAGTCCAGAGGTGGTGGTTCTGGGAACTCACCCAACATATCTTCTCACGTACTGCCATGAGCACCTGCCACAGAAGGAATGCTGGCTACCTCTGGTCAGGGCAGAGAACTGCCCCTTCAGTAGCAGGCACTGAGATTTCCCTGTGGCACATCAGGCCTCTGCATGCTAGGCTATATAGTGGCTTCCAGCCTTCATCTTTACTGCTGAAGGCATTTGCCTTGTAAAGCTGCAAATGAACTCGAGTATAGTCTAGGCACTTGGCAGGCAGGATAGCAGAAACTTATGTAGATGGGATAAGCCAGAACAGGGAAGTGATCCAGGTTAAAGCTTTCCTCGAGAGGACTAACTGCAGCCTGGATCAGGTCCCAGAGCCAGTTAACCACACAAATGCTTCCACTAGCATAATGAGAGAGTGGGGAACTGCCTTATACCACTCTCAAGTACATGATGACCAACACTGTTCTAAAGGGAGGCTCCTAATAGCCAGGTTTTTCCAAAACCCTCTCCATCTTTCATGCCAGAGTCCAGATGTTGAAGTCAAGTTCGCTAAAGGTAGGTTTCTATTTATGCACCAGCAGATCTAAGCTTGTTCTGCTTGTGCTCTGAATAAGACCAGGGAAGAGAACTCCAGCCCAGAAACAAATCACTGCATGTGCAGAGCACTGGGTCCAAGGTAATTGCACCTACTGAGCCAGGATCTATCTGCATACATCTCATAATCCCATAGGCAGATCACCAATTTCTGCCAACACTTAATATGGTATTAAATGTGTGCTCCTGGGAACACCCCTGACAAAAATTCCTAGCAGTCAGTCCCTCAGAATACATCTACTCAGAGCCAACAAATGAGGGCAATCCATTGACAGCCAGGAGCTTTACAGTCTGTTTTGCCAGCCTCCGACAAGGTCAAGTGGCTACAAAGCAAACACAGATACAGCAGAATAGAAGGAAACAGCAAGAGTAATGATATCCCTAGCAGATTTCTAGCATATCCTCAATTACTTGGAGCCTTGAAGTCAAGGGTTTCTAAACCTCACAATGCAAGCCAGACACTGCAGAAATAACTCAGCAATAACCATCCCATGATGTTCTCTCACCCTGTATTATACACAGCCACTGGGAAAGAAAAAAGAAAATTAAACTATTCATCATGTTTCAGTAATAAATACATCAAATAAAACAAAAGAACAAACATATGTACTCACCTCTTCCTTCATCAGTCCTGCAGGGCAGATTTCGTATTTGTAAACAACACACAATCAAGAAAGCTAACGTCTAGTATCCAATGTCCTGCCTCAAAACTGCTCTTAAAATACAATACATTTATAGTCAAACTCTTGTAAGAATTATGGAATCTCTGGAAATGCTGCCACTACTGTGAGCAGATCAGACACAACTGACAGCCAAAAGACGAGAGGTGTAAAGAGAAAGCACACAGTACACTAGACTAGTAATAGCCCAAACAGCTTCTAGACATCCAGGTCCTCTTTCCAATGGGAAATGTGAACCTAGCCACAGGTCAAGAACGGCAATCCCAAGCTTACTCAACTAAATCAAGTAACATTTTAATAACAAAATATGCCAAGGGTGGTGCCCGAGGATCAAGAGAGAATGTTAGCAAGGGGAAAGGCAATAAAGCCATTCACCCTATTATCTATGCTCATTGCTTGTGGAAACCTCCAACCAGAGCAAGGAAGAGGAGGGAGTCACTCACAGTCCAGTGTCTGGGCACTGTGTTAAATCACAGGGAAGAAACTGGCCCCTGAACTCTGCTTCTCAGTCTTTTAACATTTTCATTATACCTGTTTTTATTACAACATTAACAGCTAATATATGCAGAACAATTTCAAGCTTATGACTATGGCACTAAGGAAAACATGAAGAAATACAACCAGGTAAGACAATACGGTTTTCTTGAGAACTCATTCTTGGGTTCTAGCAAAACTAAGAATAGAAAACTTCAGATTTTAGGACCTGTGACCTCACCTGCTACTGAGAGAAGGAGAGAGTGGCCTGAGATAATCTTTCACTTTAACCTAATACTCATGAGTGTAAAAGCCTATTCATAGGCAAGGCATAGGGAGTTCCTTGCAGACAGTTAAAAACAGTTGATTTTGGTTGATTTTTGTCTTCCTTACTGATGCAGGGATGTGTCCCATGACATGTCAATTTACCTGCCATTCCCAAAAAGCAAGACTTCCACTCAGGTCCTGGGACTGGATGAGTATGGAAAAATAATTCTTCCCCCAAAATCTTCAAGGTCTGCTTTTCAGTTAAGGGGGGGAAATGGATCTCTTACCTAAGCTATGATGAGCTCTCCAATTGGCTGACAATCATTTGACTTTTAATTAGCACATTTGACTTGCAGCACCCTGTTCTGAATCAGGGCAGGTGGCTTTTCATGGGCAGAAAGGCTCCAAAGATATATCCGACAGTTCCACCCATGCCTGTGGTCTCTGAAACTGTCTAATGTCAGATCATAAATGGCCAAAGTATTTCTTGCTTTTTAAGCCCCAAGCATAACAGCTAAGACTTTTAGTAGCGCTCCATGCCCCAACAAAATCTGAAAAGGATCCGAGGCTAGGTGGGGATGGGACACATACAAGCAACAGCTCTGCAGTCCTTGCTTGATAAACACAAATACTGCTCTCTCCATAGCCCCACCTCTGAAGAGCATGAGCAGGAGTCATACTGCAGGACAACATGCATCCATGCACTATGGAGAGGCTGAGGAATAGGATAGATTGGGGATGGATGGGGGGAAATAAACACAGAAAGGGCAGGTTTGGTCCTGACTGTTTCCCTGCAACAAGTGTGGGAGGGAAGCAGAGATGCTTGCACAGAATCATTTCTCCAAAAACAACTTCTGGCATGACAGAGTTCACCTCAAGTCTCCTCCCTTCCTTCCAGTCTACTCCTCCTGTATACGAGATAGAGAAGATGAACATAGCAGTTGCTGCTTGGAGTGCTGGATGTGACAAGTTTGCAGATCCAAAAGACATGGCAAAGCTACTTCCTCGGATCACTAAGCTAATTTACCATGAGCATTTTCCTGACTGGGGACACCTAGATTTCATCTGGGGCCTTGATGCAACAAAGAAAATGTACTTGAAAATCCTTGAACTAATAACAAAATATCTTTGAAACCATATGCAGAGAGCTGATTCACCCAGTAATACCCTCAAAAATTTCTGTTTAGCAATAAGGGTGATTCCTGGGAAAGGGGTAAACAAACAGATACACACAATGGATATTGGTATAGGGGTTTACAAATCAGTGTAGGTTGGTTTGTATTTTTCTTGCATTTCTCATAGCTTTAGGTTTTCCACACTACTACAGTATTAGGTGACTGGCGTCCTCCTGAGAAGTTTGAGGCATACAGGAATGGCTGCTGAAAGCATGAATATATTTCTGCACACACTTCAGGCATCACTTAACCTGGACAGCTTTTATCTCTGCAAGACTGATTTTCATAAGCCTAAGCTCTGCTGTTCTCTTGTATATCTTATGCACCTCATAGAGGTATTATCCCATGAAAACACAAAAACAGCGTTTTCTCATTTCTTTCTTGGAAGTACTGGTGACCTTTGTTCAAATTAAATCATTTAACAACTTGACAGAGAGTGCAGCCTATTTTTCTCCTCCTCACATTTACCAATAGTGCCAACACAATCAAGAGACCTTTAGCCATAAGAATCTGAGTATACAACAGGTGGCTTCCAAAAGCCAAGGAATCCATCCTTAAAAAAGGATGTGAATCTTCTTGTTGGACACATCCAAGTATTCTCCTGCCCTTTAACCCAAACATCTACCAAAGGTTTGTTCATGCACTCTAGATCCCCACATAAAGGGACCACGGATGTTTTCCGTTCACAACCTGGCAGCCAAGAAACACACAGATGCAGCTCCATCAGGCAAGCTGCAGTCCAAGCACCGCAGCATCTACCTAAGGAAGTAGTCTCGATACTGGCAGTGAAATTATTGCAAGTTCTCTAAGATAACCAGCTTTGATATTTACATAGCCCCATGTCTTGACCATTCTTTGTGCAAGGATTTTCTGCAGCATAGGAAAGTAGTCAATTATTTTCCCCTTTCAGATCACAAGCCCAAAAAGATAGCTTCTTCATTACCCATGTGAGTGTCTCATATTACTCACCTACAAGGTGATCTGGTAGCTAAAAGAGTGCCTGTCCCCATGTTAACCCAAAGTGTTCATTATTACAGGTCCAGACAGGTTAGCTTTCTTATCTGGGGTTTTCTGGGTGGGGCCTCAAGCCCATACTGAGAAATCAAGATCCATTCCAGTTGGAGTCAGTATCCAACACCATGGTGACACTCACAAAATCTGTCTTATGAAATACAGGAAACGTGTACTAACTTGTCCATGCACCTTGTCCAAGCTGATTTTGACATCTATCCTCAGAACCCATGGCAACTTAAAGAAAATGGCCAAAACTGTCAACAAAAATGAAGATTCATTAGACTAAGGAAGCAAGTTAAAGCCGCATTTGAAAGAAGACTCCCCTTTACTGTTACATTACTAAAATTAGAAAGTGCCAGGCCACCTTAACACATTGCCTACCACTACAGGTTTTCTTCTTCCTTTATCCTACACAGGGGAAGGCACCTGAAAAATTTTATTATTATTATTTTGCCATATGCACCTCCTGCTGCACACACTACTCAAACATACTATACTGTCCAGTCTCCTGAGGATGATGTATCTGGCTCCTACCAGCAGCATTTCAGATACTGATTTTTTTCTCCCTTTAGCATATTGTTTACATTGGAAAGCTATTCAAGAGACTGGCTTCTCTTCTGATCTAAAAACATGTTTTAATTAAGCTGTTGTGGCACAGCATTCAGTTGTCAAGCGTGCTGTCGTGGCACAGCGTTCAGCTGTCAAGCGTATCTCCTATAGAACAAGTAAAATACTCATTCTAAATGAGCGCAGCCAACAGAGGCAGCGAACAGACGCAGCAGTTTGCACAGCAGTGTCTGGGCTCTGCCTGGGCCTTTTGTGGGCCTTGTTGGAAGTCGTGGAGACTTTCTGGGGACCCCCGAGGAACTAGACGGTGCTTGCTGCTAGCAGGAAGGGAGAGCTGGGCAAGGACTCCTGCAGGGGACCTTGACTTAACTTCTCCTGGGAAGTTCTAGCTAGGTGGGGCTGCTGCTAACGAGCTCTCTGGGCTGCCCTGGTCAGAGGGAGTTGGGGCTTTTGTTTCAGGTGGCTCCTGATTGGGTGGGTCAAGCACCCTTGTGAGTCACTGCTAGGCAGAGGCCTATATAAGAGCCAGGCCTAGAGCGCAGCTCCCAGAGCGCAGCCAACAGAGGCAGCGAACAGACGCAGCAGTTTGCGCAGCAGTGTCTGGGCTCTGCCTGGGCCTTTTGTGGGCCTTGTTGGAAGTTGTGGAGACTTTCTGGGGACCCCCGAGGAACTAGACGGTGCTTGCTGCTAGCAGGAAGGGAGAGCTGGGCAAGGACTCCTGCAGGGGACCTTGACTTAACTTCTCCTGGGAAGTTCTAGCTAGGTGGGGCTGCTGCTAACGAGCTCTCTGGGCTGCCCTGGTCAGAGGGAGTTGGGGCTTTTGTTTCAGGTGGCTCCTGATTGGGTGGGTCAAGCACCCTTGTGAGTCACTGCTAGGCAGAGGCCTATATAAGAGCCAGGCCTAGAGCGCAGCTCCCAGAGCGCAGCCAACAGAGGCAGCGAACAGACGCAGCAGTTTGCGCAGCAGTGTCTGGGCTCTGCCTGGGCCTTTTGTGGGCCTTGTTGGAAGTTGTGGAGACTTTCTGGGGACCCCCGAGGAACTAGACGGTGCTTGCTGCTAGCAGGAAGGGAGAGCTGGGCAAGGACTCCTGCAGGGGACCTTGACTTAACTTCTCCTGGGAAGTTCTAGCTAGGTGGGGCTGCTGCTAACGAGCTCTCTGGGCTGCCCTGGTCAGAGGGAGTTGGGGCTTTTGTTTCAGGTGGCTCCTGATTGGGTGGGTCAAGCACCCTTGTGAGTCACTGCTAGGCAGAGGCCTATATAAGAGCCAGGCCTAGAGCGCAGCTCCCAGAGCGCAGCCAACAGAGGCAGCGAACAGACGCAGCAGTTTGCGCAGCAGTGTCTGGGCTCTGCCTGGGCCTTTTGTGGGCCTTGTTGGAAGTTGTGGAGACTTTCTGGGGACCCCCGAGGAACTAGACGGTGCTTGCTGCTAGCAGGAAGGGAGAGCTGGGCAAGGACTCCTGCAGGGGACCTTGACTTAACTTCTCCTGGGAAGTTCTAGCTAGGTGGGGCTGCTGCTAACGAGCTCTCTGGGCTGCCCTGGTCAGAGGGAGTTGGGGCTTTTGTTTCAGGTGGCTCCTGATTGGGTGGGTCAAGCACCCTTGTGAGTCACTGCTAGGCAGAGGCCTATATAAGAGCCAGGCCTAGAGCGCAGCTCCCAGAGCGCAGCCAACAGAGGCAGCGAACAGACGCAGCAGTTTGCGCAGCAGTGTCTGGGCTCTGCCTGGGCCTTTTGTGGGCCTTGTTGGAAGTTGTGGAGACTTTCTGGGGACCCCCGAGGAACTAGACGGTGCTTGCTGCTAGCAGGAAGGGAGAGCTGGGCAAGGACTCCTGCAGGGGACCTTGACTTAACTTCTCCTGGGAAGTTCTAGCTAGGTGGGGCTGCTGCTAACGAGCTCTCTGGGCTGCCCTGGTCAGAGGGAGTTGGGGCTTTTGTTTCAGGTGGCTCCTGATTGGGTGGGTCAAGCACCCTTGTGAGTCACTGCTAGGCAGAGGCCTATATAAGAGCCAGGCCTAGAGCGCAGCTCCCAGAGCGCAGCCAACAGAGGCAGCGAACAGACGCAGCAGTTTGCGCAGCAGTGTCTGGGCTCTGCCTGGGCCTTTTGTGGGCCTTGTTGGAAGTTGTGGAGACTTTCTGGGGACCCCCGAGGAACTAGACGGTGCTTGCTGCTAGCAGGAAGGGAGAGCTGGGCAAGGACTCCTGCAGGGGACCTTGACTTAACTTCTCCTGGGAAGTTCTAGCTAGGTGGGGCTGCTGCTAACGAGCTCTCTGGGCTGCCCTGGTCAGAGGGAGTTGGGGCTTTTGTTTCAGGTGGCTCCTGATTGGGTGGGTCAAGCACCCTTGTGAGTCACTGCTAGGCAGAGGCCTATATAAGAGCCAGGCCTAGAGCGCAGCTCCCAGAGCGCAGCCAACAGAGGCAGCGAACAGACGCAGCAGTTTGCGCAGCAGTGTCTGGGCTCTGCCTGGGCCTTTTGTGGGCCTTGTTGGAAGTTGTGGAGACTTTCTGGGGACCCCCGAGGAACTAGACGGTGCTTGCTGCTAGCAGGAAGGGAGAGCTGGGCAAGGACTCCTGCAGGGGACCTTGACTTAACTTCTCCTGGGAAGTTCTAGCTAGGTGGGGCTGCTGCTAACGAGCTCTCTGGGCTGCCCTGGTCAGAGGGAGTTGGGGCTTTTGTTTCAGGTGGCTCCTGATTGGGTGGGTCAAGCACCCTTGTGAGTCACTGCTAGGCAGAGGCCTATATAAGAGCCAGGCCTAGAGCGCAGCTCCCAGAGCGCAGCCAACAGAGGCAGCGAACAGACGCAGCAGTTTGCGCAGCAGTGTCTGGGCTCTGCCTGGGCCTTTTGTGGGCCTTGTTGGAAGTTGTGGAGACTTTCTGGGGACCCCCGAGGAACTAGACGGTGCTTGCTGCTAGCAGGAAGGGAGAGCTGGGCAAGGACTCCTGCAGGGGACCTTGACTTAACTTCTCCTGGGAAGTTCTAGCTAGGTGGGGCTGCTGCTAACGAGCTCTCTGGGCTGCCCTGGTCAGAGGGAGTTGGGGCTTTTGTTTCAGGTGGCTCCTGATTGGGTGGGTCAAGCACCCTTGTGAGTCACTGCTAGGCAGAGGCCTATATAAGAGCCAGGCCTAGAGCGCAGCTCCCAGAGCGCAGCCAACAGAGGCAGCGAACAGACGCAGCAGTTTGCGCAGCAGTGTCTGGGCTCTGCCTGGGCCTTTTGTGGGCCTTGTTGGAAGTTGTGGAGACTTTCTGGGGACCCCCGAGGAACTAGACGGTGCTTGCTGCTAGCAGGAAGGGAGAGCTGGGCAAGGACTCCTGCAGGGGACCTTGACTTAACTTCTCCTGGGAAGTTCTAGCTAGGTGGGGCTGCTGCTAACGAGCTCTCTGGGCTGCCCTGGTCAGAGGGAGTTGGGGCTTTTGTTTCAGGTGGCTCCTGATTGGGTGGGTCAAGCACCCTTGTGAGTCACTGCTAGGCAGAGGCCTATATAAGAGCCAGGCCTAGAGCGCAGCTCCCAGAGCGCAGCCAACAGAGGCAGCGAACAGACGCAGCAGTTTGCGCAGCAGTGTCTGGGCTCTGCCTGGGCCTTTTGTGGGCCTTGTTGGAAGTTGTGGAGACTTTCTGGGGACCCCCGAGGAACTAGACGGTGCTTGCTGCTAGCAGGAAGGGAGAGCTGGGCAAGGACTCCTGCAGGGGACCTTGACTTAACTTCTCCTGGGAAGTTCTAGCTAGGTGGGGCTGCTGCTAACGAGCTCTCTGGGCTGCCCTGGTCAGAGGGAGTTGGGGCTTTTGTTTCAGGTGGCTCCTGATTGGGTGGGTCAAGCACCCTTGTGAGTCACTGCTAGGCAGAGGCCTATATAAGAGCCAGGCCTAGAGCGCAGCTCCCAGAGCGCAGCCAACAGAGGCAGCGAACAGACGCAGCAGTTTGCGCAGCAGTGTCTGGGCTCTGCCTGGGCCTTTTGTGGGCCTTGTTGGAAGTTGTGGAGACTTTCTGGGGACCCCCGAGGAACTAGACGGTGCTTGCTGCTAGCAGGAAGGGAGAGCTGGGCAAGGACTCCTGCAGGGGACCTTGACTTAACTTCTCCTGGGAAGTTCTAGCTAGGTGGGGCTGCTGCTAACGAGCTCTCTGGGCTGCCCTGGTCAGAGGGAGTTGGGGCTTTTGTTTCAGGTGGCTCCTGATTGGGTGGGTCAAGCACCCTTGTGAGTCACTGCTAGGCAGAGGCCTATATAAGAGCCAGGCCTAGAGCGCAGCTCCCAGAGCGCAGCCAACAGAGGCAGCGAACAGACGCAGCAGTTTGCGCAGCAGTGTCTGGGCTCTGCCTGGGCCTTTTGTGGGCCTTGTTGGAAGTTGTGGAGACTTTCTGGGGACCCCCGAGGGTGGAGTCTCCTTCGCTGGAGATATTCAAAACCCTCCTGGATGTGATCCTGGGCAATATGCTCTAGGTGACCCTGCTTGAACAGGGAGGTTGGACTAGATGATCTCCAGAGGTCCCTTCCAACCTAAACCATTCTGTGATTCTGTGTAAATGATATTTTATTTTTGCATTGGCTGCCAGTCATGATGTGCAATTTGTTAGGTTTCCAGAAATAATATAGCTAGCTTTCAAAATCCACAGCCTGTGCAAGTCAAGCAATAAAACTGGGTGAGGAGATGGGAGGAGCAATATCTTGAATATTACTGTAAACATTCAAGGCTTACTAAAATCAAATGAACTTCCAGCCATATGGCTTTGGGAATACCGACAGCTCTCCAACACACAAAACAGTCAAAAGTTTGCAGCAAAGAATGGATCGATTTGGACAAGGCCTCTGACAAATACCAGCCTCCAGCAGGATTACTGCTGCTGCTGTGCAAGACAGATTGCCAGACTAAGTAATTTTCTCATATTCCAGAGCCCTTGATACCATCTCATCAGGCACTAGGAAGCTTTCTTTAGCATGCTTTCAATGTTGCTGAACTGTAATCTTCTTGCTATATCCAAGGGAGTCTCCCCATCCTGAAAGAAACAGATGAAATACATTGCAACGTGACAGATATGGATCAAGTACAAAGAGCTTCACTGAACTTGTCACCCCAATGCAAGACTCTTCTGCATGAGTTTCACTGTCACACTGTTGCTCTGAAACAAAGGTTTCAGAACGTACTGGGTCTAATACTACTCTCACTGAAGTTAGCAGGCTGAGTCCTTTTGTCCCAATAGTGACAGCCATTCCACTATCTCCTGGGGCTAATGTCCAAAGACAGTGCAGAGGTAAGAGCTGACTTCAAGAGCAACGTGGGCAAAACATGACTCATCTCAACTGAGTAAAGCAGATATTCCCAGCTCAGTATTTCTTTGGACAGCATTTAACAGATGAGCTTCTCCAAGGACAGAAGCAGCTTGATTCAGCCCACTTCAGAAGGCTGGTCTCTAGTACCACCCCACTGCTGCTCGCCTCTCAGGAAAAGCTGTAGAGTGAGCAGCTCTGAGATAAGAGGCACTGTCAAGACAGCTAACAGATCTGCCAGTCCAGTGGGCATCTAGGCAGCCTTTACCAGTAGAAGTCCAGTAGTGAAGGACTCAGACTTTAAAGGTGCTGCTGCCAAGGAGTGCAGTGGAACTACTGCTTTATACTCCAAAGCAAACAAGTCTGCTGCCAGAAAGCAGTGGACCCCTGTGGGTTTTTCTGTTTGTTCAAAAAAAAAAAAAAAAAAAAGGCAGGGGGCATCAACTAATTACCATCTTGGTAGTGGAAATACAGTTATCAACTTCACCTTCTTACCCGATTCTTAACAGAAGGGTCTGCACGAGCTTCAAGCAATAGAGAAATAACTGCCTGGTTTTTCATTTCACAAGCATAGTGAAGAGCTGTGCTACCAGACTGAAGGGAAACAGAAACAGATGGACTTTAGTTCTACTACATCTTAAGCAGATCTTAGGCAAGTATGACTATCTGCAGCATTATCAGTCTCCCCCCTAACAGCTAGATGCAAAAAAAAACCCTCCTATCCCAGTACACTACACAAAGAAAAACAAATGCATTCTCGTAAGAGTACCAGGAACAAAGAATCATTCCTACCTCAGGGCACAGCTGCTAAAAACAGGCCCGATCCCTTTAGCAGGAAGCCAATAGTTCTTTACTAATTTCAGAGAATTCCATAATTTTTATCTCAACAACTGTGCTGCACAATACTGTTTCTCACACTTAAGTGCTTTAGAATTTGGTTGCTGCTAGAATCAGGGTTTCTCCTTTTCTGCCTTAAAGGAGAGGAGCTCTCTACCACATCCAAGTATGCTAGTGGATACAGACACCAGATATTGCAGATGAGCGCGCTCTGAAAACCAAGCAAACACACAGACAGTAACACTGGGCATGACCTTTGCCCATAAATCTGCTCCATTCAAAGAACACATAAATGGTGATAAACTCAGACACTTGTGGGAGTAGGACCTTTACAGGATCAGGTTTTTAAATACATAAGTGTTTCAGCTGAGCTGGCTTGGATTCTTTTAAGAGGACACTGGTCAGAAAGGAACCAACAAAGTTAACATAGACCCAGAGAATCACTTCCCTCCAGAGGAACGCATATGGAAACAGTCCACCTGAACTTGTTAAAGTTTGCAAATGTCTCAGCTCAGTCACAAACACAAAGCTAGAAGGCATTTCAACACACTATCCATCCTGCCTCCTTCCTTTGAAGGAGGATCTCACAGGTTGAAAAGGCATCACAGCAATTAAGAAGCTGACAGTAAAATATAATATTCCAAGGTAAAAGTGCACATCCAACACTGTCACGCTGGTTTTCACTTGATGTTTTTGGAATTGTTTTTCAGATTCCAGAGCTAAGAAAAATGCTAAGCTTGAACAAAAAAACTGCACTGAGCTTTCGGGGAGAATTAGTTCTATGTATGTTACAAAACTATATTCTAAATGTCAAGGGAAAACACTGAACCCTTCTGCTAGACAATCTGCTACATCAAAATTAATTCAGTGTCCAATAGCAGGAACATATTGCTAGCAGACTGTGATGTCCGTTTTAGTAACATTGCATGCATAGGAGCCACACGTGCATTTGTACAAATCCACTTACAAAGTCTGCAGCATTAACATCAGCACCAGCTCTCAGCAACATCTTAATTAGGTTTTCATTCTGCTTAGTCTTTGAGACCTGTTTGGCGCAAAGGGAAAAGAGTAACACAGTGAGTCAGTTAATCTGTGACGAGTACTAACTAGATTTTTTTCCTCGATATTGTTTTTCCAAATTCAAGTGTATGGCTTCTGCATCACCCAATTATATCTCTCCACCAGTTACAATCAGAGCAAAATCTCTGCTTCTTCTGCTGTTCTCCATCAGTCCTTGTTTTAAAAAGGATAATCCATCTACTCCAGACGTTCCTGCCCTGAAATACTGCCATGAGACAGGTGATAAGGGAAATGGGAAAGGTATGGGGTGAGAGGGGTTCTGATTTCATCCAGACTCACCATGAGAAGATATCCAATGAGCATAACCGGCATGAGGATGATGATAAGCAGGTAGTCAAGGAATTTAAATCGTTTTCTCACAGCATAATGCAGACAAGTGCGCTCCTTCTAAATACAGAAGAACTCTTTGATTAGTATCAGATTCAGTGAACTGATTATATTTGATTAGTATTGACAATACGGGATCCTTTTGTATTTCACAAGCTTTCTTTCAAGTTATCTGCTAGAAATCTTTCTCTGATCTGCAACAGAAAACAGATACATCCACTTTGCTTCCTTCAAATAGAAGGATGTTTAACACACATAGACTCATGGAAACTGGGCTCCACATGGAAGAAGTGCATGGGATCCAAAGGATTCCAAACGTATGTCTCCAAACTTGGACTTAGCTGCAGACAGAAAGAGAGTAGAGTGGAAATCCCATGTGGCTGTTACTCCTGCCCAGCAAGCCAGATCAGTAGGAAGAATCCCACAGCTCCTCCTGTTACAGAAGTGCTGGCTACTGAAGCAAAAATATAAGTGAGTTTATGGCATCTCCTCTGGCATATGTGAAAAACATAGGCTAACAGAAACACCAGCAACAGATTCCTAGTGGGAACAGAGTTCAAAGTCTTTGAATATTGAATATACCAAAGCAACAAAAGGGTAGAGCTGTTATCTTGGATGTTAAAGGACACTCCTGTTAAATCTCCTGCAGGTGCTGTTCACTGGCTTTTTACAAACCAGGTTACACTATGGCCAAAAATAAACAAAAAAGCCTTCCTGTGCAGTCCACAACTCCCCACATTTCAGTCCTGCTACTGAGCACCAGAACTGACCTCCACGCTCAGGGACCAGTTCCATCTGTGAAGGTGAAGAACAGATGAGTTTCAGATGACCAGGTAAAGTTGGAAGATGGTTGTCAATGCTAAGAATGGTCTTACTGCAAAACATAGAACCCTTTCTAAGGGAATCTGAGGTAAGGGGGAGAGTCCTTCTCTCCCCTCTTAAGAGCAGTCGGGACAGAATATGCCACTTATCTTACAAAAAGATTTGTTGTTTATCTATGAAATAAACAAATACACTGAAAATCAGATCTACAAAAATAGTACACAAGCATGGAGGAACATGCTGAACATTGCCTTGGAGTATGAGATGACACATTAGAATAATAGAATAGCCAGAAAAAAACACTGTCCATTTATCACCCATAACATTATTCCAGCTCCTGCAAGCATAAGTTAGGAATGAAGCCAGAACATGAATCTTCAACGCTACTTTTTATTTGCAACCTACAAGGAACCCTCCCACACAAACACACTTCCTCGTTGCCTTAGGGAAAATAGCCAGTCACAGCTATTGTTGAAGGCAGGTATTTTTGTTTTGTTTTTTTAATAGGGAATAGAGGGAAAAAACAGACAGGAAACCAGCACTGTTCCCCATCCCATCCCCCACATACACACGCATATTACGTGCTCATGTTACATCTGTTCCTGAAATAGGCTGAGCTACTGTTCTGTGGCATTACAAAAGCAGGTCTGCAGGTAAGGTTTTCATAGGGTCAGTCACTCCTCAGGGATACTTCCTTAAGGGAGGAACAAGCTCTCCTTCAGATCTTCATCTTAACCAGGGTGAGGAAAGAGACTGCGGGAAAAGAAAGGCTACAGAAGGAACAGATACAAGCTGGAGGGCAAGATGAATGCAGAGTGCTCCATAGGTGAGTGGGCAGAACCTACAGGGGGCTGCAGAAAGGCAAGAGCCTGGCTGGCATACCATATTACCTAAAATGGGAATATGAACACAGACAGAAATTCAGGTTAGCAATGTTTTGTTACCTTGAGTGCATTAGCAAGTAAAAAAAAATAGAGGAGATAAATGCAAACATAAAGGTTTCATCAAGTATGATTTGGAGGTTAGAGTCATGTCTCAGCTAGAGGCAAAACTCAGGTATGGCACTGCTGCCAGTGTTCATATAGGCACACTCCAAAAGCCTCAAAGAACAGTCACTGCAAAGGATAAATCTGTGGCCACTTACCTTGTTTCTGAGGTTGACATCAGCATTTCTTTGTAAAAGATAGCTAACTATTCTGTTGTTCCCCTGTTTGCATGCACAAATTAAGGGTGTGTCTCCACCAAAGCTGTCCTGCATGTTCAGATAGTTGCTGTTGTTCTCCAAAAGGAGCTGAACTTCATTGAAATCATTATTATAAGCTGCCTGGCAAATGGGCTGAAGAGAGAAGAAAATATTCATCAACACATACACTAAGTAAGTCAGAAAGGATAGTATAGATTTCTTAGTTGCACATCCCAAGAAACTGCCAAGCACTTCTGACAGAGGTGATAATTCTAGGTGACTTCCAGAAGATGGTGGTAAGAGATACTCCTCTCAACACAGAGTGCAGAAATCTGACACTGTTTTTACACAAGAATGAACTTTCTATTTGTTTTGCACAATGTTTCTATAATCCAAGAAATAAATTCAGACATAATCAGCCATTAAAAAACAAATCCACACAGCTCCTGATCTCATAGGAGTTGGTCACTATATTAAGCAGCAGGCACTGAGAACTGAGATACTGATTGCTCAGATACACAAGTCCATATTTATCTGAGTTCACAGCAAGCCTTCCTTACTGCTGAACAAGAAGCACCACTTCTGCCCCATCAGTTCTCAGAGCAGATGAAAATTGAGCTAGAAGTTAAAAAAAAATCCAGTATTTCTTTCCCAAGGAGTCTAGTGAGAATGCTTATGCATACTAGGCACCATTTCTTACAAGGATAAATCAGAAAACGCTGATTTTGAGTCCAAAAGTTAAGCTTCTTACCTAAAAAAATATTTGCACATATGCTCACAGATCAGATTCTCTTTGGCTTTTGAGACTAGCTTGCTGCTCAAGGATTTGCTCAGCATTTCCAGGCATCCCTGATCTAATCTGTAATTCCTTTTCTCTCCAGCAGCAGGAGCTCAGGCTATGTAGAGACTGAGACTGATAAGGGCACTACCAGTTTCTAGCTGCCTAATAGATGCAGAAAACAATAGTGGAAGGAGTCAGGCAGGCTGACAGCATTTCAAGTTTTCCAGCCGAAAACAGAAGAGGCTTTTTCTTTTCTTCTCTTTACTATTCTTTACTACTACTACTGACCTACTACTGAGGTTTTTCTTCATCGTCTTACAAGATAGCCATTTTCTTCAAATAAGTGTATTATCTGTAGTTTTTCCTTCCCCTCCTCCCTTTATCACATCCTCAATATGTTAAGTGAACAAGATAAAGCCTGGAACTCTGAGCCCTTTCCTTGCTCCCCTCCTGCTTTTAGCTTTTCAATGAGACTTTTATTTTTTTTTTTTTTGCATTTTCACTTCAAACTTTGATCTATAACAAAAGTTTGCCTCCAGCACCATCCATTGCTGCTTAACCTTCTGTACAACTGCATGACAGAAATTATTTTCCTTTCTAGAAATATTTATTTACACATTTGCCAGACCTTGCACCACTTCCGGCTTTATTATTTCAGACAAAAATCTACAAAGAATATATGCAATAATGTAAATTTGCATCATCTGTCTGTATTTTTTTTTAAAGCCTACATATGCCATTTGCTATTATACACACCTCTAGAACCAGAGCTCTTTTAATGATTTTGAGAAAGGTTCATACATAAACTCCTCTTGGTTTAAGCAACCTCAGCACCTGTGCCACCTAAATTATTACTCTACTCTATAGCCTCTTTCTCTCTGTCATTTTGGTGTCTAGTACTATAACTTCACTTCCAGGAAAGAGAAGATCAAGTGGAGCCTATTTGATCTGCAGAATCTATTTGTGCATCTGATTTCCCTCCTATTCTTGCTCTTGCTTATTGGTTTGCTGTAGTTAAAGATGCAAGAAATTTGCCATTTGACTGAACACCCACTCAAGTCCCAGCTGTTTACCACACCACTTTACTCCTTTTCACTTCTTGCTAGTTCAGCAGCTCATGTCACCAAATGATATGCTATTGTGCTTTTCTTTCTGTACTGACTTGGAGACTTTTACTTGCTAGGCCGTTATGTCCTCGACTGATCCTCTCATTGGCCTGTACTATCTTTTTCCAAATCCTACATCACTGTTGAATCTAGTTCTAGAGTCTTGAATAATGATAGAATAATTACCATTCCATAACTCAATATGCATTATTTGGGCCTGAAGACACATAAAAGCAGGCACACAAGTCATGCACGTTCTTTTATGCTCTGAAAGTGGCTGTTCTGAGAAAATATCCCAGGCACAAAGAATGTAAGGAAGCAGTTCTCACTCATTTGACCAGCTATTACAGAGGTTAATTGAAGCTTCTTGCTACAGAGAACAATAAATAAAACTCAAGAACAAGGTGTAACTTCAGGAGGGACCAAAAAAGAACTGGCTTGCATATAACAAATCCTTTAGACACCAGCTCCAATTTTGCAGTGCTGCTGAATGAAGTGCTTCATGCATACATAAGGCTCTCTTCTGCAGTTTGCCTCAGCTTCTTGAGCATAAGCTACAGTGCATCCAATTGAAAAAGACAGAAGTCATTTCCCTTTTGGAGATAGACGACTGCACAGAAGTGCCTCATCACACAACCTGCTTTGCTTGCAGCTTAAAAGCTGTCTAAAAGAAAAAGGTCTAAGTATCAGCCTCAAAAGATGAACTGCACAAAAATCCTTTCACTACTGATTGGGAGAGTTTGGATTTGTAGATGAAATGGAAGAGGGAAATTTTAGCCGCTACAGCTAAGGTAAAGAGCAGTGCTGTTCATTTCAACGTCAGTGATACCACATTAGTGTAACGACTCAAAAGAGTCACACTGAGCCAAATGCAGCCTTTGAGTAGGCCCAATAACTTAAGGAGAGTTAACATGGCTTTTTTTGCTTCTTCCATCTCCTTCTGCTTGGTTTGGCTGAGGTAGTGGTCCAGCACCAGATAAAGCAGTGATAAAGCACCAGATATTCATTAAGTTCTGTCCCACTCGAGATAAAAGTCCAAGGTATGATGCTAGAGACAAAAGCATTTAGCCAGCAGAGAGGAGGCCAAGTTAAAGCTGGTCTTGGAACTGGGACAGCCATTTCAGATACCTCTTCCTTTGAGAGCTGCAAGAGACTGCTAAAGTTACATGAGAGTTTTGAAGTTGTTTAGACCAAACACAATCACTTCATAAAGCCAGTCTCTTCCTATGCACTAAAATGCATGCAAAGGCATTCTACAAACTAGACAGGAAAGTCTAAATCATGTTTGGGAAGTTCAGAAATGCATCAGTATCCATACTTTTCATCTAATAGAACTCATCACTTTGTCATTTATAATACTGTAAATTTCTATCACATATAAATGAACCCTACTTTACCCAGAAAATTACACCTCATTCAAATATTTACAGGAAGAGAACTAAGGAATATGAGATTATTAACTAATAATCATCACAGATGTGGACAGCATTTAAACCTTCTGTACTTAAATACCACTTTAACTAAACTAAATGACACTAGTTGAGTGTAGAATAACAACTCATAGCAGTAGATCTGAGGAGAAGAAACAATTCTTTTTAGAATGAAATGCAGTCTAACCGGTCCATCAGCTCATGCATACAGAGATTCAAGCTCCCTATACTACTACTGAAAGAGGAAGAGATACTTGATTTCACTGAATACTTTCAAAAATAGAAGGGTGACTTCCATACAGAAATTTCCGTACAGAAATGTAACCTTTCAAAGGAAGAGCTACATAATGCTATCTCCAGAAAGAAAAAAAAAGCAGTGCTATCCACTGTAGTCACAATCTAAAAGGTCTAAACTCCTCATTTGTTCTCAAGTGTACTATTGGAAAGTTTATAAAATAATAAATACATCTTAGGTAGCATTTATGCTAAAATGCAGCAGCATGTTAAATGGACCAGGGTCTGGGGACAAACCCATAAAGACAAGAAGGAAAAAAAAAAAAAAATCGTGTTCCTGAAACAAACATGGCGAGGTGCTTGCTTCCTTAGGCACTAACTTTATTGTCTGTATTCAACGTAAACCAAGGAGTTTGTTTAAAGTTAATTATACATGCACAGAGCTCAGAACCAGTCTGATGCCAACCCAGAACAACAGAAAATGCTCATCTAACACGCACTTTTTTCTGTGAAGTCACAATAATTACACTAGTTACTGTCTTTTTTTTTTAACTGCTACAAACAATACTTTTGTCAATTTGTAATAGGCAAAGTACAGCATTTCTAGAGAAAATAATTTTCTCATTTTTATGAGCCTGTATATGGGAGGCTGGAAAGGGAATAAATCCAAGCCAGTGTATTTCCGTATCTTCAATAGCTTCAGATACCGTGCAGAAAATGGTCACATACCTCTGAATAAAGTATCCCCATGCCTATTCTTCGGTGCTTCAGTTCCTTCTTGTATACCAGCCCAACAGGTTAGCCTTACTTTGAAATGCTCTTGAGCTTGTTTAAATCTGGTTAATATTTAACTTAAAACATAAGTATCAGTCTTCCTTAAGTTACATTTGCTTTAAGTGCTTTCTACTTGGCAGTATGATAGAATTGTCTTCAGAAACCCAACCCAGTGAGGTAAACTTGAAAGCAGCAGTTTACAGGAGACTGACAGGACAAGTTACAACAGAGAAGCATTTTCCTTTGTCATTTTTGCAACAACCACCTCCGGTTGCCTAAAAGGAAAGTAGCCAAACAGTGAGAGTGAAACAAATTTCACAAGTGAAAAAAAGGAGGGGAAAGAAAAAAAAAGTATGAAGACTAAAACTGAAAATAAGCAACTAAGAATAACAGCTAGTTTCTCACCCAAGCTGTAAGAACAGAGCTTCATCTGTGTCTGACTTAGATATACACTAAGTCCTCTTGTAGGAACACCTTAGACATCTACAGGGAAAAGGGAAGGAATTAAATCCCACACCTTTAATGAGAGTTCTCAGTGTAATTAGCTTCAGCCTCTTATTAAATAGCCCAGCCCCTTTCATCATCTTTTTCTCACTCTCCTCTTCCTAGCCCTGCCCAAATAACAAACGCGATTCTTTAGCCTGCTAATTTTACACACTTTTCAACTGCAGAGGAGCTTCCTTAGGAAGAGAATGATTCTTGATGATTCTCCTTCATTCGAGTGTTTACGGCTCTGAGGATAAGATGCGGTACCATGTTTAGTCAGTCCTTTTGTGTAGGACACACATTTCAAGGATCTGCAGACACTCCAAAATCTCTTTTCCATTCACAGACACAACCCACTGACATCTCCTTTACATCTAACATCCTTTAAAACAAACATTAAAAGAAATGTATGTAAATGCTCATCTTAAATCCAAGCCTTCCACCTTATATAACTTTTCTTTCCCTGCAATTTATATTTATTCTCTTGGGGGAAAAAACAACATGAAATTACTCACATTGTCTCTATCCTTCTCCAGTTTAAAGTAGCATAGCTCACCTGACTTGTGCTGATCTGCTGGCACCAGTTCTAACCCTTTCAATGGCTGTTTACCAGAAGAAAAGTAAGTGGGCTTGTAACAGAAACCTACACTACACCTACCCATGAGAAACCTCACTAGGATCCTCACAACAGAACAATCCTTCAGCATGTGTTGAATACTTATTGGTCTGAAGACATGGCGGAGTGAATAATATCCTAAAGGTGAAAAGATATTCCTGTTTGCGTTTCTTCACACTTGGATGCTATGAAACAGCTGGCCTCATACGTCCACTGGTAGATCCCTCAGCTATCCCTGGCTAGGTTGTTTGTTTGAATTTTTAAACTATAACCTGTTGAAAGAAGCCTCAAATTACTCATCTGTTCCTATAATAACTTAGTAGGTTACTTAATCCTCTCCTAACACCAATATACAAATACATGCTAGCAAGGAAATGAGGAGAAGAGAACAGCAAAAAAAAAAAAAAAACCCAAAAAACCCAGGAGAATGGCAAAAAAAGACAGAAGAACAGGGAAACTCCTCTATAGAGCACAGAGTTGGCTTCAGACATCACCTGTCTCAAGATACTGTAAATTACCATTTAATCTAACATCACATCTCTGGCCCTCTTGAAAAATCACTTAATTGAAGTGACTCTTGCGGTCAGCGATTTAGCTGGAGAAGAGATAAGCAACCCAACTAAGATGAGATATGACAGTATGAAAATTTATGTAGTCACAGGTTCACTTCTGCTTCATATAGTTCTTTAGGGTTCTTTATCCTGCTTATAAAATGAGGATTTAAAACCTGAAGATTTAAATCTTTTTTGCTGAATGAGTCCTTTTTCTTCAAAAGCTGAATACATAAATGCACAGTGCTCAGGATGCTGGAATGGAAGAAAACAAGAGTAATGGTGTTCCTTGTCCAAGAGAGAGTTTGACTGGTTTGACATGATTTAGTCTTGACAAATCCATGCTGACTCTTATCACCTCATTATCCTCTAGGCACTCACAAATCAACTGTTGCACATGAAGACCATCGTTTAGGTCTAATGGGCTACATTCTCCTTGGTCTTCCCTCTGCCACTTGGTAATGGTCAGCAAGGCTCCTTTCTCCTACCCTCAGATGTTTCTTTCAGCTTTGTAAATTCTTGAGACAATCCCTCCACGTTTACAGACTGCTTCCATGAGGTGCTGAAATACTGTAGGATAAAGATTACCAGGGCCAATTTACCTGAACCTATCTAAGGCACCTAGACAGTCCTGTTGCACTTTCTGTGCCTGCCTGCTTATTCCTAACTTGAGTATTAAACTGAGCAGGTCCAAAGAACCTGAAGAGTAAAGCTAAAAGAAAGGGCACTGAGTTTAAGGCTACTGAGTGTAGTCATTGGCCTTAATAGCCCTAACCAGAATCACCTGGGGCCCACACGCACTGCCCAGAAGCTCCATTAGGCTCAAGCCTGGACCTTCACTCCTTGCCCGAGCTATACTGTCTGAGTACTGGTCTCCAGCTCAACTGCAGCCACACCTGTGCCTGCCCATGGACCATACTAATCTGGACCCTGACCCACAGTCTGTCTTTTCAGCTGGGCCTTGGGCTTGCCTTGTCACTGTGGACCGTGTCACTGCCTGGTGACCACTGTGTCCGACACTCTTTACTATCACTGGACCTGATCCTGATCTGTGGATTGACTTCCATCTCAACCTCAGACATGCTTTACCACCACAAATTTGCCTGATGATCTGGACTCCTGGCTGAACCTAACTACTATTTCCAGGCCTACCTCTTTGCTATGCCTCTGCCATGCCGGCTGTGTCATTTCACTTGGTTGCCTGTCCCTGAGAGCACTGCCAGCCCTCCCTGCTCCCTGACATGAAGCATATCAGCTTCCTCTACAGCACCTCAGCGTTACTCACTTGCCTCATCACCCACTGAAACTCTACTTTCCTTTATCTGCCTCACTTGCAGCACATGGATAAAAAACTTCTTGCAAGAACTTCAAAAGATGATTTTCAGTTACAAACGGAAACGTGGATATTGCCTCTACCCCGAGCACATTTGACCCACACAGTTGCCTCTGCACTCCTGTGTTGGCAACACTCTTCAGATCCACACAGTCCACTAGCTGTTTAACCAAGTGGCAAAAAAAGACTAACTGCACCCCCTTATGTGTACTGCAGTATCAAAGGAGACATGTCAGCCCCTCTGGAAAATAAAGCATTTTCCTAATATGCCACCCTCCAGGAAGAGGTGAACACGGAAAGGTCATGTGATTCACCCAGCTGCTCTGGTAGAAGGAGAGGGAAGGATTTTGGGAGTCATCAAATGTCCATGCGGGCTTTAAATGTGTTCGCTGAGCAACGCGTGTTCTGTTCACCAAAAAGGAGAGAAACCTTTGGAAATCTCCCCACTTACTTATTTCAAAGTGCTTCCACCTGAAAAACAATGCAGCAAAGGAACAAGGGTTCCATTCAAACCCTTCAGGAGATGCTTAAATTACCCAGCTGGTTACAGGTAGTGACACACCTACGTCAAATCCCTCCTGTGTATCTGGGGTCTGTAGTCCCTGGGAGTAGAGCAAGTACACCTCAGTTGCCATATTATTTTGGTACCAGAATCAAGCAGGATATTCAGTGAATTCTGACGATGCTCACTGGCACAGTTCTCACTTAGGACTTCTGTTTCAGTATTTCCGTTCAACTGTCAGTAACTGGAGTGTTTCAACACATCACATGGTTCAAACCTTGTAACATTAACGTTTCCCTGCATAATAAATGGCCAGAGGAGGTTATAACCTTTTCACCAGTTTTACAGTTGTGGAAGTATGCACTATCAAACAATGACATTACCAGCTGGACTGACAGCTGAGTTAGCCTTTTCTTCCATGCTTGTTGCTGCAGGGTTTGCATAAAGCTGGAAATTAAATTTGGAAAAACGTACCACGAAACCATGGGTAATACCAGGAAACCTTACTCAATCACTGAAACTACAATAAATCAAAACAATAAACGCATTGAAAATGAAGCTGGCAGGTCAGCAGAGCTCTGAGATCCATGCCTCATACTCGAACTCACTTGCTCTGCCTTAACACGCTGTTTTCTGCTGCCTGTGCCGTCTTCTTCATAACAGATGCACAGCATTAAGAAAACAAATGAAAACTACATTTATACTCATTGCTGGTGTTCCAGCAGACCAGGAAGCAAAATGGTCATTTTATACCCATTCCCAAGGCAGGGGACCACCATGAAGTCATTTTTAGACAGCAATAAGTGCTAGCTGAAGAAACCACCGTGATCTTTCCCTGCACACAAGAGAGGTAAGATTCACCACAGCCCAAGAGAAGGAATAAAGCAAGCTTCCCTAAAGATGTTTGGATACTAAAGCCAGTAACGTCAATGTATTAGTATTTCAAGAAGATGGACTCATAATTCAGGGCCTTCATCAAAAAATATCAGCCGAAGGAACTTTCTAGTATGCAAAAAGGGCATACTAGAATTCACTAAGGCACTGAAGTCACACCAGCTTGGTCCCTGTAGCACTGCACCTCTGGACACCTGACAGACGAGCCAGGCCATCCACGCCTCCCAACACTGTGGCCACCGGAAGAAGACCTTATTATCCCCACTGTGATGGAAGGCAAGCAGAAAGAAAGTAACACTTAGGCCTGCCAAGGGGGTTAGGCACACAAACGCTTCTGTGGACCTCACTTCTCTTGACTCCCAGCAGAGATCTGAGACCGCAACCTGGGAAGACCTTAGGCTGCAGCTCCCGACTCCAGTGCCTTGGGAGAAGACAACCTTTGGAAAGGATGACATGTGGACAGTTTTTATTGCTTACCTAATCCACCCAGTCATAGTTATTTACCATCATCATCATTCTGCTCTCATGTTTCCTCCCTCTCCCAGTCCTTCATCCGGCTCCTGTCTGTGCAGATCCCAGAGCAGAAACTGACTCCATGTAGTAGGCACATGGCAAGGTTATTCATGTTTAAAGACTGAAACATTTTAAGTGGAGGAATCTGACTTATTGATCTCCCTGTCTCCTGACATGCTGATAAAGCCTCTGTCTAGAGCA